GAGCTGAGGGAGGCTGGGAGGGTGATTCTAGCTTACAAATCTCACAACTATAAATAATGCTCTAATGAATCATCATATTCCAAACTAAGAACTAATTAATCGATGGATAATTTGTGTTACAAATCTGATACACTTTTCATTTCTTAAAATTTTGTCATATTTGAATTTTTGATCAATCTAATTAAACTTTGATTAATGACTTCTTTTAGAATAATAATACTCACTCTGTCCCGCTAAGTTTGTTCTTCTTTCTTTTTCAGGCAGTATAGGCCACTATGATTGTTCCTCATTAAATTTGTAAAATTTGTGTATTTCTAAATCATTCATACTTTATTCTTATTTTATCAATTTAATATCAATTATACAAAGTCACTTTTCTTAATAACCGCATCACCTTTTCATGTCACAATCTTAATTGGGTGGATGTAGTGCATTTTTTAGAAAACGGTTTATAAATAAAAATCATATAAAAATTTTCTTTGTTGAAAATGCTCTCATAAAACTCTAAATTTTATAACTTTCATAAAATTATAATAATCAAAACTATTGGCCAAATGTTATCATGTTTGATTTGAAAAGTAAAAAATGATAAAAGAAAATTAAAAGAAAAAGGTAGTAATATTTTACTGTAGTATCTTCTAATTAAATAGTGGTACCCCCATTCACGGAATCCGCCCCTCCTTATTGGTAGCATTAGTATCAGTCATACCTAAACTCGAGCCAGAGTCGAGCTTCATAATATGGGCCCCATACATAGTATTTGTTTATCATATAGATGCACTAAAATTGAATGATTAAATATCACAAAAAAGTCTTACATTATAACAAAATGGCATTGAATGTATTAAAAAACTAATGAAGTAGAACTCATCGAACAGTTTTAGATGCAAAAGTACTAATGAAGTCCGCATAATCTATGTCATCAATAAATTCCTTCTCAATTGATAACATGGCTAATCCATTCATCCTTTCTTGAGACATGGTTGACCCTAAAAATGTTTTTATGAGCTTCAGCTTTGAAAAACTTCTTTTTGTACTTGCTCCTGTCACATGTATCGTCAATAAGATTTTATATGCAATGTATGCATTAGGAATTGAAGCCAAGTACTTATTCACGTTTACAACCTGACTTTGAGTTAATGATTCAACATGCGATTTCGTTTTCCTCTTTTGAAATTCAGACATATATTTTGGAGGCATAGTGCTAAAAAATTAATAAATACTACCTCCGTTCTCTTTTACTTGCAACATTGAACTTTTTGCACTATTCACATATTCTACTTTGACTATATTTTATTAATTAATGTATTATAAATTTATTTTTTTAAAAATATTTTTAAATTCTTCTCATTCTAAATTTTCAAAATATGAATTTTTTACTAATAAGGAATGAAATATATTAATGGTCAAACTTGTGCGTTGACAAACGTGAAATGTTGACTGTTGCAACTAAAAAGAAACGGATGAAGTAGTTTAAATACATAAAGAATTCCACTAATTAGTGGAATTCTTTATACTAGTAATTTTCGCTACAATATATATACAAAGCATATAATTTGATTAATTGTGAATTGAGATTCCATAACTACAATATTGATAACCCAAATAAAAAAACAAGAATCAACTAGCATTTAAAAATTTACAAATTAACCCATAACCCAAATTGTACGTACACATCAATACACTCCATTGTCCGTGAGAGTTTTTTTTGTCTGTATGAATGCCAGTTCACAGACAAAACATGACTTGTTTTGTCTGTGGAAAATTCCACAGACAAAACAAGCCAGGTAAAACTCTCAACCATGGGGTGTACTAACGTGTATAAAAACGTGTACACTAAAAACTGCTTAGTGCTTGCAGAGTTGCGGCTTACCTGCATCTTGCTATTCTTGCGTCTTGCTATTCCTCATTTCACAGAACTTGTGAGTAGAGATTCCAGAGAAGATCGATACACTCTTGGTGAAAGGTACTCTTTGAATCTAAAAGGGTTTTTGTTATTCTATCATCTTTGATTTGATTTATTTTGATTATTACAACAATAATTTCAAATTAACTTATTTCCCAAAGCTGCTTTGTGTTCCGATTGCTTAAAAAATGTAGGCTTTCTTCTGGTTTCTCTTGGAGCCAAGGAAAAACTTTGTGTGTCACTACCTCACTGTCTCATCTTCTTCAAGCTTGACTTTGAGGAAATATAATTTTCAAATAAACTCAAATCTGCTTTGCTCATATTCCAGGAATCCGTCCCGAGTTACCATGCTACTTTTTTTGAATAGCATTTAAAAAACAAATCTAATTTGTTTACCGTTTTAGTTGGTGTGATTAGTTACTATGCATGTTGCTAATTTCTCGATTATCTTGCTACATCAAGTTAAATCCCAAATCTCCTTATTACCTTTTTACATAGCATTTTAAAAAACAAATCTAATTTGTTTATTGCTTTAGTTGGTATTATTAGCTGCTAACAACTATACTTTTTTGTTATGCCTTTTTTTGAATTGAGAAATTATATTCTATGGAGTTAGATATAGTTAAGCATATATCCTAGGGTATAGGTACGTTCTTTATTTTGCATATATCATGCTTGATATATTAATCCTCGACAAATATTCACTTTAATTGAGTTGAAAAATTATATTCTGTGGAGTTAAATGTACATAGTGAAACATATATCCTACGTTTGTTTAATTGTTAAACATGGTCTATTCCTTATAACAAAGCTACAATTTTGTTGCCTTATAAAATGCATTTTATACACTTATACACTCATGGTGTACATCTTTTGTTTTGTATTTTGGATTCAATCATTCCCATATATTTACATTTATTTCATCTTTTTTGTTTATTAGGAATCACTCTTTAAGTCTTGTGGTGACACAATTTTTTTCTTTTATCTCTTAGTGAAAAACGATTTGCACTTGGCCAGTGTATTTTCATTCATGTTCATATCTCTCCCCTTTCATTTTTTTTTTGTAAATTAGTTCTATTTTTATGATCATGATTTAGGTGGATCACCTTGTAATAGAGTCGTGCTCAATGAACTATTCTCTAGGCAAGAAATGTGTGTTGATGACGCACTTCACTCTTGTAAAGCTTATGATCTTCTTCGTGTTAAAACCATAAAAGTCCTTGTATAACTTTCCGCACTTCCCATTCAATAATAATACTGTCTAACATTATGTATGTTTAATTGTCAAACAGAATCAAATTTCTTTTCCTGCAGCAGGGGATATGTTCATATGTATTGAAATTTTGGATTAACTCACTAATTAATTGGGTTCAATCTTATTCCATTAGTGTTTCCCTATGAAGCACGGAAACTCTTCACGACTCACGTTTCCACGTTTCGGAAACTCGGAAGCGTTTCGGAAACTCGGAAACTTCAAATTCCCGTTTCGGGGCCGTTTCCGTAATTAATAAAAATTTGGAAACCCGTTTCACTACGTTTCGGAAACCTCGGATTCCAATTTTTCTTTTCCTTTTTTAAAGATTCTGTGGTGGAATAATTTTTTTTTAATAGTGATTTTTTGTGGTATTTCTCACCAGCAACACTTGTTACATTTCGTCACACAATGTATTGCTGAAATGTATTACTCCGTACATTTTATGTTTAATTATGTACTAATACTAGTATGAAATAATATCTAAATTCGAACATATAGAGTGATTTTATTATTTGGTTACTAAACAAATTATATGAAAAAAACATGTGCATATGGAAAAACTTGTGTACATATATTAAAAAGTATTTATAAATATATCCTTATATTTTATAATATTTACGCGTTTCCCCCACGTTTCGTATCTTATATTTTTTAGAAATTACGTTTCTCGCGTTTCACGTTTCACGTTTCCCGTTTCGCGTTTCCGTGCAACTTAGGTGTTTCCTTATTCCACGATACCTATACTCTTTTTTTAAATAACATTATTTGCGTTTTCAATTTATCATGGAAACTTTTAGTTATCTTATTCCTGGATTTATGTCATATCTCCTTGTTACTTTTTTTAACACATAAATGACATCAACACTTCTCTTTGAGTGGTTTTTTCACTTTTCAAAATGGGTGAGTGGTAATGTATTAAAATCTAAAGAACAACCTTACAACCTACCCAATTGGTTATTCCTAAATCCTTTATCTAATACGATAGTATTTCTAGAATACTTTGCAAATAATTTTGTAGAATTGGTATTGATATATATAGAGAAGATCATGTGAGAAGTCCCCCTTAGACTGAGAAGCTGCGAAGTCTAACTTATAAGCTAAAAACACGAACTTTTAACCAATAAATCATCATAACTTATAGAGCCCCTCCAAAAAAATTACGAAAATGCCACCGCGTCAAAATTACTCCGGAAACCTTGAATTTTTTTTTGACGCGGTGGCATTTTCGTAATTATTTTTGAGGGGGTCTATAAGTTATGTTTTATTGGTTAAAAGTTCGTGTTTTTTGCTTATAAGTTAACTTCGCAGCTTCTCAGCCTAAGGGCACTTCTCACCTGATCCGCTCCCTATATATATATATATATATATATATATATATATATATATATATATAGAGTGCTCTTCTCATCAGGCCGGCCTGACGGGCTGCCCCATCCGGCCGAGCCCGTTTGGGCACCTTCCCGGTGGAATTTTTTGATGAAATTTTTTGAGCATGTTCCCCATCAAGTCTAGTTTGTCCATACCAAATTTCAGCTCAAAATTCGATCGGGAAGGCATTCAAATCATTTTTTGAAGTTGACTGCGTCAAAATATACATATAAAACTGCAGTCAACTTCAAAAAATGATTTGAATGTCTTCCCGATCGAGTTTTGAGCTGAAATTTGGTATGGACAAACTAGACTTGATGAGGAACATGCTCAAAAAATTTCATCAAAAAATTCCACCGGGAAGGTTCCCAAACGGGCTCGGCCGGACGGGGCAGCCCGTCAGGCCGGCCTGATGAGAAGAGCCCTCTATATATATATATATATATATATAAACCTGTAAATAGGTTTTGGCTGCAACACAAATACACGGGGAAACTCGAATGAAGTTGTTTCAACATGAAGGGAAACTCAATTCAATATTAATTTGTGCTTAGGCTAGGGAAAATGCTTATCTCAATAATGTATTTCATATATGATAATCGATGTACACTGGAGTATATTTATACATGCAGGGATGCTAATGAGATAATTCTAGATAGCTACAATCGTGGAGATAATAACAAACAACAACCGTATGCTAAAATAATGTACATGATAATTACAATAATAATTATGCTTCAATACGCCCCCGCAAGATGGAGGTTCCGTTGGAAACTCCCAGCTTGGACCTGAACCGTTCAAAAGGCACTTTTCCAAGCGGTTTTGTGAGGATATCAGCAATATGAAATTTGTTAGAGATATGTCGAACGGAGAGTTGCCCATTTTCAACCAAGTCGCGAACAAAGAAGAAATCAAGTGCTACATGTTTCATGCGTGAATGGAATACCGGATTTACACAAACATAAGTGGCACCTTGATTATCACATAGTAATTGTGGGGACTGAGGAAGACGAATACCCAATTCAGAGAGAAGGTTTTGGACCCACAAAATTTCAGCACTAGCATGAGCTACGACCCTGTATTCGGCTTCTGTAGAAGAGCGAGACACTGTCTTTTGCTTGGCAGATTTCCATGAGATAATATTGGAACCAAGATACAATACATAGGCTGTAATAGATTTCCCCCCATCATGAATGTCTCCCCAATCCGAATCAGAAAAGGCAGTGAGCGTAAGTGGTGATGAACGCTTGAGGAAGAGCCCATGATTAATTGTGCCTTTGAGATATCGGAGAATTCTTTTGACACCTTGTCAATGAGTCTCCTTCGGTGCATGCATGAATTGGGATAAACGGTTGACCGCAAATGATATATCAGGTCATGTGAAGGCTAGGTACTGCAAGAGACCAAGTGCGCGACGATATTGGCTAGAATCAGCCTGGTTTGTGCCAACAGTAAGATGAGGTGGAGCGGTAGAGCTCATAGGAGTGGTGGCCTCTTGTGCACCTTCCATGCGACATTCTTCTGAAATGTGCAGTATATATTGCCGTTGAGTGAGGAAAAGACCATCCGGATGAGGAATAATTTCAACACCGAGAAAATGATGAAGTAAACCAAGATCTTTAACTGAAAACCTGCATGTAAGTTGCTGAATGAACTGTTCCAGAGCTTCAGAATTGTTCCCTGTTATTACTATATCATCAACATAGATAAGGAAGTATAGCAAAACATTATGATGAGAAAATATGAACAAGGAAGCATCTGCCTTTGACCGTCGGAATCCTGCAGAAATAAGAAAGCGTGACAGTTCAAGGTACCATGCACGTGGTGCCTATTTGAGACCGTATAAAGCTTTTTGTAAATGACACACATGCATGGGTTGAGAGGGATCTTTGAAGCCCAGGGGCTGCATCATGTACACTTCTTCTGAAAGAGAACCATGCAAAAATGCATTGTTCACGTCCATTTGACGTAAAGGCCAATTTCTTGAGAGAGCTATAGCTAGAACAATATGTATAGTTGTCGGTTTAGTAACCGGGCTAAAGGTTTCTGCATAGTCCCATCCAGGTTGTTGGAGAAACCCACAAGCAACTAGTCGAGCCTTGAAACGTGCAATACTTCCATCAGCGTTCCTCTTAATACGAAAAAGCCACTTACATGTGATAGGTTTATGAGCTGCCCGAGGAACGAGTGTCCAGGTATTGTTACGCCGGAGTGCCGCCATTTCATCCTCCATAGCTGAATGCCACCTCGGATCAGCTAAAGCAGTCTTCACACTCGTTGGTTCAAGGGTTGGTAAAATAGGATGAGTGGTGGTCTGGTTCACAAACAGACTTCCAAAATATTTTGGGTTTGGATGTCGGTTGTGAGTGGGTCGAGGAGGCGTGATAGGCTGGTTGGATGAGGAGGGGTTATTAACGATGGGAATTTGGAGTGTCCCATTTGGTGGGGTGGAGGAATTAGAAATAAAGTGAGATATAGGAGTGAGGGACGAATTAGGAATAGGGTGGGATGTATTACATATGGGTGTGGCAGTATGATGAGGTTAGGTAGTGGATGGTCGGGTCAAAGAGGAATTATGAGAGTAATTGGTTGATGAGATGGGAATTGACTCTAAATGAGGTGAAACGGATTGCAAATGACCAAGTGCATGGGATGGAGTAGATAAGGATGAGTTTGAATTTTGTGAATGATTGCCAACAGTTTCGGTCATAGGTGTATGTGGCGTTAAATTAGGAGACATGGGTAGGAGATAAGGGTTGATCGGGTAGTTGGGTATGATTGGTGGAGTAAGAGATAAATTAGGTGCATTATTAGATAGACCGTCAACAGACTGTATGTGACAAAACGGATAAATGTGACGCACAAATTTAACATGGCGACTTGTATATATTTTGTGTTGTGATATATCAAGACAGAATTAGGCGGACTGAGATAAAGATAAAGAATACCCCAAAAATACACATGGAGCCGACCGAGGTTGAGTTTTGGTATGAGAGTAGGGACGGAGCCAGGGATAACACAAGCAACCAAACGGTTGTAATTTGATATAATTAGGATGGGAGTGATACAAACGAGAGTAAGGGGTGTCGTTGTCAAGGATCGTGGTTGGTAGACGATTAATTAGGTATACCGCGGTTTGAAACGCATAAGACAAGTATTTTATTGGAACGCCCGAATAGTGTAATAGGGAGAGTCCTGTGTTAACAATATGACGATGTCTTCTCTCGGCTAGTCCATTATGCTCAGGTGTATGGGGTAGTCATATGAGAGATACCATGAGCACTAAGATAGGACCGAAGTTTAATAAATTCACCGCCATTTTCGGAGAAAAATATAGTAATTTTATGATTAAAATACTTTTCAACCAGACGGTGAAACTGGGGAAACACAATAGACACCTCAGATTTATTTTTAAGTGGATATAACCATATGTAACGAGTGAAATGATCCACAAAAATAACATAATAACGATAGACATCAACTGACGTATCAGGTGTACTCCAAACATCACTGTAAATGAGTTCTAGAGGGCGATGTGCATTCATAGAATTGACAAAGAATGGTAATTTGGTACTTTTATTAACTGAACATGACAAACAATGGAAAGAACTGGACGTATTACATGAAATAATATTTTTATTTTGATTGGCCAAATAATGAAAGACTCGACTAGATGGATGACCCAAAATGTGATGCCACTGAGATTGATCTGAACTTTGAGTGTGATTGACTTGAGGACTGGGACGTGTTGGTGCAAAAGAGACATCATGATTATTCTCCCCGCGTAGTAGTGACGCCCCCGTGACCCGATCCTTGACAAGAAAATGGGTAGAAAAAAATTCAATGGAGACATTGTTAGTTTTACACAATTTGGCAACATATATAAGATTTTTATTTAAATGAGGAACACACAATATATTGGAAAGGGCTAAGGGACGAGTAGACGTAGGTAGGGTGGTAGAACCAGTATGAGTGATTTGAAGGGCCTTACCATCACCGAGGCGGACTTCATCCGGTCCACCATATTCGACATAACTGGGCAGACGAGTTACATCATTAGTAACGTGATGAGATGCCCCGATGTCGAACATCCAGGGCTGATCATGCTGAATCGGGGTAGCAGCAACATGGTTGACCGTCGGAGTAGGAGCTGGAGCAGAATATGAGATGTGATTATCTCGGAGAAAACGTTGGAGTTTTCTGCACTGCTGCACCGTATGACCCATGTTATCACAAAATCTACACACATGCTGGCCAAATGAAATACGTGATGCATGAGTCTGTTGACCACCTCTTCCACGACGTGAGTGTCCACCACGTCCAGGCACAAACATATTTCTTTGACCATTATTGTTATGAGAGGGTGGGTATCCACCACGGCCAGTAGATTGGGTAGCATTGGCGGTTGGGAGAAAATTGGAATTTTCCGTTGCAACCTCCGCCAATCGTTGTTCGTGTTCTAGGAGAATGGAGTGAAGTTTAGCAAACGGGAGTGCCGTTGGGCGAACACTAATTGCAGACGTTAAGTCATTATAGGAAGATCCAAGACCGTTCAAAATTTGAACAACAAGATCATCTTCAGAAAGAGGACTTTGAGCCAGCGCTAAGGCATCGGAAAGAGCCGTCATCTCGGCCAAGTATTCGGTGATGGACCGGCTTCCCTTAGTGGTCCTGGCAAGGGCAGTTTTGAGAGAAATGATGCGTCGCCGGGATGTACTAGCGTAAGTGAGAGCTAGTTTATCCCACGCATGGTGAGCAGTGGAGGCGGAGGAAATTACCGGCTGAATCGTGTCAGAGCAACTTCCAAGCAGTGCGCTGAGAATAACTTTATCTTGGCGATACCAGATGGTATAACATGGGTTAACCTGCGATTTGGCAGCATCAAGAAAATGATCTGGAGCACGAGTGGTACCATCAACGTAACCTTCAAGTCCGAGGCCAATGAGGGATGCATAAACTTGGGATTTTCAAACAGGAAAGTTGGATGTAGTGAGTTTGATCGGAAAGTTGGTGGTGGCGGTGAGCTGAATGACCGGGGTATCGGCGGTGATAGCCATGGGGAAGAGAGGAAAAAAAATTGATGTATTAAGCTCGTATGAGATTGGCTCTTGATACCACAAAAGGTATTGAACAATTGTATTTCAAATAAGATAATCGATGTACACTGGAGTATATTTATACATGCAGGGATGCTAATATAATGAGATAATTCTAGATAGCTACAATCGTGGAGATAATAACAAACAACAACCGTATGCTAAAATAATGTACATGATAATTACAATAATAATTATGCTTCAATATACTTCTCTATCTGTCTATATACCTTTTTTTCTTTTTATCCAACTCAGACAAGATATAGCCTTTTACAAATTTTAAATGATAACTTATCCTCCTAGGATATTTTTTCAAGATTGTATCTCGTAGATTGATGCAATGAAACGGTCTGGAGAAAACTTTTAGCCCAGAATGAAATACTCGTACATTTTAAAACCACGTAAACAAAGAACGCATGATTACAAAAAGGAGTAACTTCTAAACACAGGGAGGTCATAACCTGGACATGACCTTTCTAGGACTTTTCTTTATCTGGTATGATCGTGGCAACATTATTTTATAAAGGTCTTATGGTGAACGAGGAAAACAATTGCAGTAAAAAAATGGTGCAAGTTATTTTTCCCTACTCTTTTGTTGTTCCAAAACAAACCAATATACTACCCCCGTTCTTCAATAAGTGCAACAGTCAACATTTCACATTTTCCGAGCACAACTTTGACCATTAATATATATAACTCTCTATTAGTAAAAAAAATTAAAAAATCAGATTTTGAAAATTTACAATGAGACAAATTTAGTAATATTTTTTTTTCAAAAATATATATTAATACATCAATAAATAAAATGTAGTCAAAGTAGAACATGTGAATAGTGTAAAATTTGCAATGTTGCACTTATTTAAGAATGGAGGTAATATTTTCTTTTACTACTGTGATAGATTATAGATGGATTACATGGGTCAGAAAGCTACATCTATGAATATTGTTAAAGTTTTGATAGCAGTAAGAAGCCTTTAACTATTACATCTTAACAATGAACAACTATGGAGTATTATTCTAACCTGTGTTATGATGTAAAAAGTGCAATTGGCTATCTTTTTAGGCTATGATTTGAAAAAACTAAGATTACAAGTATTAAATAAATAGATGAATTTAGTATACTATGTAGTACGAGTTTTTTTTATATTCCTAAACATCTTGATTAATCCTCTAATGAGAATAAAGGATGTGAACAAATGTAGTTTTTTAATAGATTCTCCAAGTTTTGGGCTATGATTCGGAATAAGATTATAAGGGGAAAAGTGCAGTAAGTGCAGATTTTTATTACATTCTCCAGTTTTTTGTTACCATTCACTTATTTTTTCATACTATTTACTCATGTTTTTCCTGCAATATATAAATAAATAAACAAATTTTAAAAAGGTGATGCTTATTAATGAACTAACTTGATACATGAGTAGGCCCACACAATTCAAGGCAAGTACAAACCTTAAAATTTGTGGGAGATTTGAGCAACTACAAAAAACTCTTAAGGAGCTAGCATGATCTAAAATTGCTAAAAGAACATCTGCTGCATTAGTCACCAAGGGGCATGGATTGTGGTAATCTTAAAACATACTTTCACTTCATGATTTTGTGAAATTGGGAGCTGAATTTCTGCCACAATCTTTGGCTTTGCTCTTTGGAGAAGGTAAAGTGTTGAAATTAAGTCTGTTTCAAGGGTGAATTGAAGTGAAGGAAGCCAACTGCAACCACCAATGTGGATTGATTTATAAATGTTTTCTAATTTTGTGACCGCACTACATAAATATTCATAAATAAACAATCGATATGTTACATATCAGTGGTGTAGAGTAGAAGCTTTCCTAAATGCTCCCTAACACCAGAAAGCAAGGTCTCCCCCCCCCCCCCCCCACATCAAAATAAGCATCTTGATTTTTACTCAAGTTCTTCTCATCTTTACAAATGACAGTCCTTTTGTAAGGCAACAATCCTCCTCCTATTTTATTCCTTATTAGAAGCATGAAGTTTGTGGTACTTTTAGTTTTACTCCATGTTCTTGTTTACTTTTTTGCTATCCACTGCACTTTTTATTTAATTTGTTAGGATGTTACCTAACCTATTCGTCTTTCTTCTCAGCTTTTGACGAAATCTCATGCTTATATTATTCATTTTTATTCTTGTTTTCCTGTGGTCGATTCAAGACTTTTCATTCAAATTCTAATGGCTCTCCTATACTCAGCGGTCAGATAATCATCCTCATATGATGAGTCGTGTTCGTACTCTTCTTCATCGACCTTTTCATTCTCATTCATTCTCATCAGCCTTTAGCCTCTTTGGATCTCTTCCATCCGTTTATTTACGTTCATATTCAGAGCACATCCTATTGTCATTGCCAAAGACGGATTGTGCCAAAGTCCGGATCACCCATCTCAAACCAGGCCTAAAATTTATGTCTTTAAGTTTCCAAAGTCTTGTTGGAAATTTGACGTATTTCAAATAAATTAATGTGTGAACGGATGTTTATTAAACCATTTAATAAATTATCATTGACCAAACGTTTCACTAATGGTTGTCTAATTTTTTTGAACTAATGTCCGAGTTTTGTAACGTGCATAGAGAATGCTTGGCTATCCTCACCTCTCTCCACTTAATTAGGATCTCCAACTTCTCTAACGTTACAATTCTATTCAATAAATAAATTGGAACGGAGCATGAAGTAAATATGGATGACCTCTTCTGCTTGAAAAATATCTTGCGAACTCCATCTTCAAAGAACAAGGCTTTCATATAAAATGATTCCTTTTAAAAGCCTTTGCTGGATTATTATAGTGATTTAGCTCATAGTTCTGGTTCCGACTTATTGTCGAAGGGCTCGTTATATCCTGGGGGAAGATTTCTGTTCACCGGAAATACTTTCAGAGGACAGCGTTTACGCGTCTCGAGCCATGGTGGTTTTTGCTAATTTTCTTTGCAGGTGTTTTCTCAAAAGTTGCTGCCTTGCTGGTCTGGTCCAGGAGAGGTGTTTCAGCAGCTTCTTCCATGAACAATGGTGATCAAACCTGTTGCCCGGAGAGTAGAGATGAGGATAGCACTCAGTCACCCAAAACCGGGCTGTTAGGAGCAAGCAAAGTAGAAAAATCCCCAACAATCTCTGAAAGTATTACTGGACGAGGCATGCTCCTACGACTCCATTCAAATGGGCTGCTGAAATCCTTGTTTACCTACAGGCTGCGTAAGTTGGTATTTATATCAATTACTTTAATCTGGGCAGTTTTATGTATTCAAGAATCAGCATATGTTATGTTAATGCATTTTGTGATAATTTTAATTGTTACCCTATTCACAATAAGCCTTGGTTTAATCCCACTTATTATAATTTATGTCATTTTATGTGATAGAAAGACAACTATGAGAAACAATAATCCACTTATATCAAAAATAAAAGTGATTAAAAGTGATGAAAATTTTATTGCGGTTGTTTCTCAAAGTTGTAAAATAAATGATGTGAATGAATGGATGGTAGACTCAGGGGCTACCAAGCACATTTGTAAAAACAAAAGTGCTTTTACCTCCTATAGTACTACTATGGGAGATGACGAAGAGCTCGTGTACCTAGCGGACTCAAAAACCGCAAAGGTGCATGGTAAAGGAAAAGTTCTTCTTAAACTCACATCGGGGAAAACTTTATCACTAATTGATGTACTTTATGTGCCTGAGTTTCGGACTAATTTAGTTTCTGTTTCTCTCTTGGTAAAAGCTGGGATTAAAGTATCTTTTGATTGTAACAAAATTGTTATGACCAAAAATGATGTTTTTGTGGGCAAAGGCTATTGTAAGAATGGACGTTATGTGCTTAGTATTCCGAAATTAATGCGTGAAAATGCTTCTTATTTGATTGATTCACATGATGTGTGGCATGCAAGATTAGGACATGTGAGTGATTCTTATATCAATTTGTTGCGTGATCGTGGTTTGATTTCTAGTGGAAAGAAATTGACACTAGAAAAATGTGATATTTGTGTTGAATCAAAACAAACCAAAAAATCATGTCCTACCACACATAGGGAATCAGAACTGCTTGAGTTAATTCACACGGATTTGGGTGATTTAAAAAATATCATGACTAGAGGTGGTAATAAATTTTATGTCACCTTTATTGATGATTTTTCGAGATACACTAAAATTTATTTGCTTAAAAGTAAAGATGAGGCTTTTGATAAATTTTTAGTGTATAAATCTGAGGTGGAAAATCAATTGAATAAGAAAATTAAGAGAGTGAGATCGGATAGAGGGGGCGAATATATTTTAATAAATGATTTTTGTGAGAGGGAAGGGATTATTCATGAGATAACTCCTCCATATTCGCCCGAATCAAATGGAATAGCTGAAAGAAAAAATAGGACATTAAAAGAAATGATGAATGTTCTTTTAATTAGTTCTGGTGCTCCTGATAATTTGTGGGGGGGGGGGGGGGGGCTATTCTTTCTGCTTGTCACTTACAAAACAGAATTCCTTATAAGCACAGTAAGAGAACACCCTACGAATTGTGGAAAGGTTATGTGCCTAATTTGAAATATTTGAAAGTGTGGGGATGTTTGGCTAAAGTCTTATTGTCTGATCCTAAGAAGAGGAAAATTGGTTCTAAGACATCTGATTGCATATTTATTGGTTATGCTGAATGTAGTGCTGCTTAAAGATTTCTTGTTTTGAAAAGTGATGTGCTTAGTTGCAATACTATTATTGAAACAAAAAATGCTGAATTTTTTGAGAGTGTGTTTCCTTTAAAGCCAGAATACAAGACAGTTGTGCCATATCGTGAAAGTGAGCCATTAAAAGACAATAATACTTTTAATGAATTTGATGTATTTCAAATAAATTAATGTGTGAACGGATGTTTATTAAACCATTTAATAAATTATCATTGACCAAACGTTTCACTAATGGTTGTCTAATTTTTTTGAACTAATGTCCGAGTTTTGTAACGTGCATAGAGAATGCTTGGCTATCCTCACCTCTCTCCACTTAATTAGGATCTCCAACTTCTCTAACGTTACAATTCTATTCAATAAATAAATTGGAACTGAGCATGAAGTAAATATGGATGACCTCTTCTGCTTGAAAAACATCTTGCGAACTCCATCTTCAAAGAACAAGGCTTTCATATAAAATGATTCCTTTTAACAGCCTTTGCTGGATTATTATAGTGATTTACCTCGTAGTTCTGGTTCCGACTTATTGTCGAAGGGCTCGTTATATCCTGGGGGAAGATTTCTGTTCACCGGAAATACTTTCAGAGGACAGCGTTTACGCGTCTCGAGCCATGGTGGTTTTTGCTAATTTTCTTTGCAGGTGTTTCTCAAAAGTTGCTGCCTTGCTGGTCTGGTCCAGGAGAGGTGTTTCAGCAGCTTCTTCCATGAACAATGGTGATCAAACCTGTTGCCCGGAGAGTAGAGATGAGGACAGCACTCAGTCACCCAAAACCGGGCTGTTAGGAGCAAGCAAGGTAGAAAAATCCCCAACAAGTCTACATTACATAATTCTTTTATTAAAATGACCTTGATTTAGCTAGAAGTCCAGAACTCGGACAAAAGGTAAACAATCTACTGAATATTAGATTCTCAACGTTGATCTATACATGAGAAATGACTCTTAATTGATCGACGAACACAACTCTTCAGAAATCTTCATTGGTCAAACATTGTGAGGTTTCGAGAGAAAAACTTTCAAGACACATTGCCGCTTGAGTTTAAATGAAACACTACCTATTGTGTGACCACTCAAACTAGCATCTGGTATCATCATTTAACAGAATCCTCACAAATTTACTTCTTGGTAACTTCGTCAGCCCTATACCCAACCGTACAGCTTGACCGGGTTAATCAAATGGATGAGGTGATTAATGTATGAATACAAATGGTCAAATTTCAAAAGAAAAAATAAAGAGGAGTAGATTTTATGGAAAAGTCATCATAATTAAACAACTTTTTGATTATACTCACTAATATTTTATATTATTTGTTCTATATTAAATGTCAACATACTTGAATGAAATTGGATTTGAAATTCTAACCTACTCTTTGAGCGATTGAGTATGTCACAATCATCAATTCATTATTGGACACTAAATCACTGCTAGTAGAAGAGTAAAATGGTAACAAATTATAAACATTCTTAATTACTTATCAATCCAGTGGAAGTAAACAAAAAGAATCAAGTGATTATCAAATAAAAAACACGTAGAATTTCGTCCTGTCATTATTGACAAAATATAGAAAATTAATCATAGTAAATTAGTGCCCTAACCTCAAGAGAAAATGAACCAAAAAACCTAAAATGAACCAAAAAATGAAAATTTTAGTCAGGTTATCGAGTTAATGCAAAAAGGTAGCAGTTTGATCTGTTTTCACATCCATATCTTCCATTAGCACATTATTGGATATTACTCGATGAAGTTTCTGGAAAATGGTATATTGGAATTGGAGATGTCAATTAAAGCCATATAAAGATGCATTTTAGTTATCTAAATACTCTGTAGTGGTACATTTTTGTTGTAGTGGGCAACGAGCTAATTGACCTTGTTGGTGGTTTTGGGCACTTTTCTTCTAGTGAGCATGAGATAAGAGATTCATCCCGAACTTTAATTTAACTAGTAAAGTGTCCTCCATTATTTTAATCACAACATGTTGAATTTTACACTATTCACATGTTCTACTTTGACTACATTTTACGGTACACTTTTACAAAAATTATTTTTTTTAAAAAAATTGTTCAATTCATCATATTACAAATTTTCAAAACCTGATTTTTAATTATTTTTTACTAATACAAATTAAGATATAATTACGGTCAAAGATATGCGTTGACAAGTGTGAAATGTTGACCGTTGCAACTAAAAAAGAAGGGAGGGAGTATTTATCAAAATACAATAGCTCTAAATAAAGATAACATGAAATCACAAAAATAATATTATCTAAACAACAATGATTAATTGTAAGAAGTGAGTCTCCACACCTCAAAAGCCATAACACAAAACAATTAAAAACTAGAAACTTATCCAAGGATTGAATGATAAATAAATTACGGATTGAGGAATTTAAATTGATTAAATACTTGATATCTTTTATTCCATTCATAATCCTAAATTAGTATGAGGCATGTCTTGTTGTTTTCTATAGACTCACATGAATGGTGCCTTTTTTATCAAGTTCGATCAGCGATTTGCCAGGGTCCATTTTAGCAACCCGGGGCCGGTTAGGAATTGGATCCGATTCTGGATTTGGCAAACCTACGAGGGGAATTCTATTCACAACTACGTTTTTACTAAATACAGGCACATAATTTTTATAATTCCTATTTTATCCTTAGCAATACCCAACTTCATACAACCTCCCTGCAGGCCCGTCCCTGAAAAATTGGAGGCCCTGTTCAAAATAAAATTAGAGGCCCTAAAATTTTATACAACAAATGGTAATATATAATATAATAAAAAACAATATCAAATTTTACAAAATGCAATTCTACTTGGTGAAGTAAACGCCAAGATTATCAAAATTACATTCAAAATTTTAAGCTTAAAGTACACTTATTTAAACAATGCTATCTTTCTACAGTTTTTTGAAATAAAATCTTTCAATGATTCTTAATATGAGTTTTTTTCAAGTATGAGTTTTTTTCAAGTAGACCACACACAATTGCTACTAAAACTAATCCATTAAGTCTTTCTCGGTCATTGTAGATCTCATGTAAGACTTCAACTAGGCAATTATAATTTATAGAATGTAAAGCTGCAAGAGAAATAAGGAATTCAAATAGGATAAATAATTATATATATTATATATAATCAATTAAAAGGAAAATGGGAATACAAGCACCTGAACTGCTGAACACGTGACTACGTGAGTGAATGAGTAATCGAAGGATAGCAATAAGCAAAAGAACAGATGAATTGAAGAACGCCAAGAACAATATGTGCCCCTACTAGGAGTGCTTGACAAGTAGACTGTTACTCCAGTTCTAAGAAAATAAAAGATTGTTGGCTAACTTGACTTGTTGCAGACCGGCACTCGGAACTCGGAAACAGAAGAACAACAAATTGAAGCAATTGTCAAATCACTAAATCGAATTAATGGAGTTTGGATGGAATTGAGATATCTGATTTTCGGACGATTGGGTATTTAACGAAAAAGGCCTAACAGTAAAAAAATTAAATTTCATACCGACAACCTTCATTCACCCTAATCTGCTCAAATCGATCATGTCGATCTTATCATCGGGCACGCCGCTTCGTTTCTCCAAAAAAATGCGCATAAACGAGGAGGCCTTTCCATCTTCCCGCTTCTGTAGCGACTTGCGCGGACTGATCGATGAGGCAAGCAGCCAGGCAGACGCGCTCCACAAATAGGAGATTGGGCCGCAGGCTAAGATTATTATTTGATAAAAAAGATCCTATTGGGCCTAGGTATAATACAATGCTATTAAAAATTGGAGGCCCCCTTAGGATTGGAGGCCCTGTGCAGGTGCTCCATTTGCACCTGGGCTGGGCCGGCCCTGCCTCCCTGTGTAATCTGTGTATTTGCAAAGAAGGAAATAAGAGATTCTTCATACAGAGGATTCATACGGTGGGGAGTATGGAAGACTTGGAGGAGCTCCTCCTACATACTCCATAGATGTTCCGATATCAAAATAAATGATCAGAAAGGGAAATTTGTTTGCTTGATTAGCCCTCTGTTCCGAAAGAAGTTAACTGACGATGAAACTGCTTAGCCGGCTTGGTTAATGGAAAAGCCATCGTGCACACCAAGTCCAAAAATTAAAAATACGGATTTAGATTGTGTCTTGATAAGATTGACCACGCCCTAAAATTTTCACATCCATTTTTTACTTCTGCCACGTTGGTGTTCTACACTTCTACTCCTACAACCAAGAACATCTTGTTTTAGATTCCAATGGTTTCAGAAACATTGGTTTCAATTTCACCTCCCCTGTCTTTCAGATTCACATTAGTTTCAATCAAGTTAAAAAAAATTAAACGGGTAAACAGTTAAAACATTGAAATCACAAAAATTAATGGCCTAAGATTTACGTGTTTGAAATAACGAGTTTAAGAGCTTTGCGAGTGTCAGGCTATGGCGACGTTGGACCTTTCCGTAGAATAATGTTTGAAATCTCTATTATAAGAGGAGATTTTGCCACACACCGGAGACTAAGAAAATCTTTGAGCGGACGTCGTTGGAATACACACGTGATTTGGGATCCCGTGATTTGCCTACAGGGAGCTGTATCAAATTGGATATTAAGGATATAACAGGAATTATGAAATTATGTGGCTGTATTTAGTAAAAAGGTGGCTGTGAATATAATTTCGGGTCCAATTTGGATAGTCATGCAAATACTTTCTTTTTTACCATCTTTGAGAATCGGTATTTGATGAAGAAGCGTCAGGTTTTAGTTCTTTCAACTTAATTATGGCTCTTCTTTCTTCAATTTTGACATTTATTCCTCGCTTTTGCCGAATTTAATGTATTTTTCTGGGTTCTCCTTTTTCCTCGAAGAATATACGGAGTTCTATAAAACATTTTTAATTTAATTGGGGATCTACTTAATATTGTTTCAGTGTGACAATCACTGCTTTATTAATACAATGAGTCGCTAATACATAGTACCTTTTTTGCTTTATAAATTATTACTCCGATCCCATTGCTTTATGGGGTACCTAATATTGTAGGTCTTTTACTCAAGTAGATATCAATTTTATAAGTGATACTGAGTTTGCAGTTGCAATGTTTAATATTTTTGGTTAAATGCCATCACTCCTGATTTTTGTATTGTGCCAATAGAGTTTATCTCAAATTTATTACTTATGTAAAATGAAAATTGATAGATTGTTTGGAGTTTTGAAATATGACTAAACTTTAATTTAATTTCTGGTTAAGCAATTGAAAAATGTGGCATTGTTTAATATTGATATGATGTGTTACCAGTTACCGTCCCATTTGAAAACGAAATCATGCTAATCAGGTCTAGGTTTAAGATCGAACGGAACCATTTCAATGATCACGAACGGATACGCGTTCAGTAAAACATTGGTTCGTCCTGAACCGTACTCACCCCTATTAATAGTTTGTACCACTGTACTCCGTATCTTTTTATTGGTTTTAATTATAAGATTTTAAAGCTTATTATTATATGGGATAAAATTAAGCTTGTTTTGTAATGACTGGTCTTCAATTGTAATAATATTTGAGTTGATGATTTGAGTGAATAAGCTAAATTTTGTAAGAAGATAGCATATGAAGGGAAGCCTATAAACAACTATCAACTAATTCGGCACACATGAACAATGAATAATTGGTTTTGGCAAACAAATTAAAACCTGGCACCGAAATAAATAACATTGATTATTTACAAAATTTAGCAATGAAAATATGAAATGCTCGACCTTATATTGTACTCCCTCCGGTTTTTAATAAACTTCACACTTTTCTTTTTGGGACGGTCTAAAATAAACTTCACACTTCCTTATTTCCTTTTTTGGCAAAGAAATCTACATCAAAACAGTGTCTCAACAGTGTCAAACAGTGTCTCTACAGTGCCAAACAGTGTCAAACAGTGCCTCAACAGTGTACCCTACAGTAAAGTCAAATTTCTTTCCTTATTTTGTGTGAAGTCAAACTGTGAAGATTAAAAAAACGGAGGTAGTATATAAAGAAGACTAGAAGAGTAAGGGGGCGTTTGGATCTGATTCTTAAAAATGTTTCTGCTTCTTGAGGGAGCAGAAACTGTAGTGTTTGAGTGAAAGTGTAGAAGTGAATTAGTTTTTTTAGAAGTTGAGGGTGACCAGCTTCTGAAAATTGATTTTGATTCTACTTCTACTTTAAAGGTAAATGCATGCTTGCATGTGTTCACGGACGATATATGATCATGTGATTACATGATAATGTTATATGAGTTATGACTAGCTAGCTCTGCTAGGTTTCCATGTGTTGTAGATAATCTACAGGAGGTTACTTTTGTCTAGTGGTTTCCATTTTTGCGATATGTCAAAAAGATATATTTGGGGTGCTCTTTCGATCTTCTTTTAACAAAATTCAATCAAAAAAGAAAATGATAGATTTAGTCCTCTAACTTAATTATGTGATTATTCAATTTTAGTAGTGTAACTTCATTCACCTTCAATCCTCCTTCAATTCTAGTACTATCGTATGTGGCTAGTAATACTCCGTATGTTATAAATTTGTCCAAAAGAAAGTTTTCCCACCCGAATGAGTATATTCGGAATGAGTGAATGACTATATTTCCAACGGAAAAATGACGTTGGCAATCAAATGGAGTACTTTTCTAGGTCTTTTCCCACTAATATGTTTTGGTCAAGAATATTTGTTCGAAAATGTGGAATACTCATGCACCCTAGGCGCTCTCACACCTCATTCAATTGTTCGAAAAATCAATTCCGGGTTTATATTTATCAAAGGTATTGATAACCAGGGCCGTCGTTTGACCGGTTCATTAGGTTCTTTGTAACAGGGCCCCATCATATATGAGAACCCCATTTTTTTAAACTTGTTTACGGAATAATGGGTTAGTATGGAGTAGTAATAGGTTCTTTCTATCCTCTGTATCCTTGCAATTCGTGAGTGGGGGTCAAAGCAGCAGGAACGCCCCTTCCTCGATCTCCTCCTTTTACTGCAATTTATAGTCACACGTTTGGAGTATTTGGCCCACTACTTTTGCATTTTTATTACAAATTACTTAATTTTTGTATTTGAAGTAATAAAATAGGACCCCAATTTAATAATGTATTAGACGGCCATGTTGATAACTCCCCTCTTACGATCTGAAATGGAATTGACCAAACATAGTTGTTATTGTTTCAATTTCTTTTCCCACAACAAAAATATTTGAGGAGTATAACAAAGCTTTAAAACGCTTCTGTCACGAGAATAGTAAAATTGAAGGATACAACAATGGAAATGGCTTACACAGGTAATATGATAGCTTTTGAATATAATGTACGGAGTATTATATTATTATATTTTGTGAACTAATTACACACATACATGCATACATACATACATTATATTAGCGCAACGCATGCGCTAAAGTTACATATGTATGGAATTGCTTCAAGAAATTTACGTCTCGCGAGCTATACACACAAAAATCTTTTTAAACCCTCAGACTTGATAAGCCTTTTTTCACGTGAATAAAAAGACAAGGACGACTTTCCGTTTTGTTAATTTATCTTTACGCTTATTGTCAAACAGCACTCAAAAACCATAGGTAAGGCAAACTGAAACCGAAGAGCTGTAAATCCTTCTAATGTGTATGTGTTTGCGCTCAATAATACCATTTGTTGTGATGTATCAGTGCATGA